ACAAATGGATTTTAAATTTTTAATGCCGAGTATTACTAACCTATTTTTACTGCCCAAAACTTATCCGTTTTCACAAAAAGAGGCGGCTTTCGGTTTTTAAATAGTCATGGTGTTGTTGTTCATTGTTTGGTCAGCGGTAGAATATATTTTGATCGTTTTTAGGTAACAAAATAAGAATACAGTTTGTTATTTTAGTATTTCTATATAGTTAAAGCTGTGTTTATAGGTATAACTTTTTGGGCAGGGTAAAAAAATTTCGGGCGGGGTAAAAAATTTTTTTCGGTATGGAAAAAGCGGGCGGGGCAGCAAAAGAATACAATACAAGAAAAACCAAAGAAAAACGGTTGACATATACCTCCACCCACATGAAAAAAAAAACTTTTTTTACCACGCTCAAAATTTTTTTCTCAATTTGCGTTTTTTTTATTTTTGAAAAATACGTTGTGCTGCACTTACGCGTTTAAATATCTTAAAAATAATTTCAAAAATTTTTGCGCTTTGAAATAGAAATGTCACCCTTAAAAACGGAGGCATAAATCAAAAATCTTTGAGAGATATTTGGCCTATTTGTTATACAGAGACAATAAGATATCTAAATATTCGAATATACGCACAGATTATAAAAAGTGCTGTAAAATCGGAAGGGAGAGTAAAGTTTTTTGATATAAATTTTTTCAAATTTTTAAATTTTTAAAAACTGCTTAATTATGAAAGTGAAAAAGTAGAAGTTATATGAGTGATAAGGGAGGGCGGGGGAGGGAGGCGAAGCCTTAGTTCTAACCATAGCGTCAGCTTTAGGCCCCAGCCCCAACCTCAGCCCCAACCCCAGCACCAGCCCCAGCGTCAGCCACAGCCGAAGCTAAGTGCAACTAGCCACAGCCTGATCTTCATTCGTCCATAGCCAGTCTCAACCAGTTTAAGTTTAGCTCCAGCCATAGCCCTGGCTTTAACCCTGGATTTACTTAAGTCTTTCTCAACCCGAACTAAGCCTTACACTAGTCTTTAGTCGTAGTTTTAGACTAATCCTATCTTGCTCTACCTTACCTTTCTTAAAATTTTCTTTATCTTTAATTTCATAACTCTTTCGCTATTCCTTAACTTTTTTATCGTTTTTTTGTCTTATTCATGCCTTATGTTTTATTTTATTTAAAGAACTTTGTACAATATTCAAATTGTAACACCTTTCCTCACTTTTACAGCAATGTAACTACATTTTCGTATTTTCACTTTCTGCCACTCTCATTTGTTTCCGAAACCAAGATTAATACGAGGGGAAGCGCTGAGCTCATTTACCTTATGGCCATTTGCAAAAATATAATTTTTTGAGTTTTAATGGATGGACCAAAGTGCGGAAATCGGGTTAGGTGCAAATTATTTGTCATAATCGACTTTATTTTAATGTTTTGCCGCTGGGAGGTTTGGGAGGATGGAGGAGTTTAAATATGTTGGGGGCAACTTTGTAGGCATGTAAAGAATGGTGAACAATAAAGGGAAGAGGACTTTAAAAGACCAAATTTGATGAATCCTGCTCTGAGTTCAGACATGGGGAACGGGCCGGCCTTGACTCAAATTTAGCTCGGACCGGGCCTGAGAAATGGGCTCGACGTGGCCTGTTCCCTATGTCTACCTGTGTTGCTTTACCCTGCCGTCCAATGTTTTTGCCTTGATTTGACTATGCCCTGCCCACCAATCCCTGCTTTGACTTTTGTCTTGATTTTTTTAGCTTGAAATTTTTTAAAATTTTTTAAACCAGAAAAATTTTAATTTTAAAAGACATTTTTTACTGTTGCAACATGGTACATTGTGTTCGTCTACTTGACGAATATTCGAAATGTGCAAAAGCTCATTTTGAATAATTTCGCGTGCTCTTGACCATTTGTTTTTTCTTTCGAGCAACAATGGAAACGTTCATTGAGGCGGATAATCTTGTTAAAACGTCCGATACTTCATTTTTGGCAATTCAATAAAGAGGTTCAGAACATTGTTTTTGTTTCAAAATTAACTTTTTTTTTACTTTTTGTTTTTTTTGTTCATTAATTGGAGTACTAATATTGCAAAGGGGTACTGTAATAATACGGTATTTTGTATCGGTTTAGAGTCAAGCTATGGGATTTAGTAAATGATACTGTAGATTTAAGATGGAGTTAGAGTTAAGGCAGGGACTTATCCAAGGCTACTGTAATTCTATTTTAGATTCAAAGTGGAATTAAGGTAGGGCTAGGTCTGGAGCCATGATCACGACTAGGACTAGCCACTTAACTAAGACTCAGTCTCGAAGGGATACAACTATTCTTAAAACTAGGGCTAGGACTCTGAGCTAAGACCCCGCGCTAAGGCCCTGGGCTAGAGCTCTGAGCTAGGGCTCTGAACTAGGGCTCTGGGCTAGGGCTCTGGGCTAGTGCTCTGGTCTAGGACTGGGCTAGGGCTTTGCTAGGTCTAAGGCTACTGTAACTACATTTACAAGTCAAAATTAGTTTTTTAATTTACCATAGTATAGTCTATGTCATATTATAGTATATATTGTCCAGCTCAAAAACACAAACTCAAGCACGTCTTCAGACGACCACAATTTGTTTTTCAACTCTTCCAAAATCATTGTACAAGAAATCTTTTTTATTAAAAATTTCTTTTGCACAACTTTTTTGAATAGACTTTTTTTAGGCCGGAGAGATTTCGGGTATGGTCGCGTGGGAATAATGGAACGCTTTTTGTTCAAAATATGATGTGTGTTAAGGTCAAAGCCGCGGTTTTATATTTACAGTCAATTTTGGCTAGGTATTTCGAAGTTTTTTGAAGTTTTTTAAATTTTAAAATTAAATTTTTTTTACAATATAAAAGGCTTTTACTTTTAAAATTATAAGAGGAGTTTATTAAAAGGTCAAATTGACTTTTAGGTAACAGTTGGGTTTTCTTTTACTTAGCTTCTTTGCCGTTACTTAACCCCCAATTTTTTATTCTTTTGACAGCTCAAAATTTATTATTTCCTTAAAATTTTCTTTTCAATAAAGTCAAGTCTTATTTTTTTTATTTTGAATTTTATTGGAGTACATATTCTTAGACCAACCTTTCGTAAGCTTTTTTTTAGCTTTGTTTTTACTCTTCTTTAATATCAGCCTAGTCTTACCTAACCTTACCTTAGTTTTATCAAATTTTAACAACTCTGTAGTAACCTTAGTCCTTACGTAGGTTTGTTTTATCCCCAGCCTAGCTTTTAAATAGTTTTGACTTTAGCATTACTTTAACGTAACTTCGCTGTACCCTAGTCTTAACGTACCCTTTCCCTAGCCTCGGCCTAGTTTTGGCCCAACTTTGGTCTAGCCTTGCCCTAGCGTAACTTAGCTATACCTTAGCTTTATCATAGCCTTTTCTTAGCCTTGGCCCAGCTTTGTTCTTGCTTTGCTCTAATCTTGTCATAGTTTTTCCTTAGCCTTGGCAGTCTAGTGTTAAGTCTAACGTTTTGCCTAATGCCTTTTCATTAGGTTTTACTCTAGCCTTCAGTTAACCATATACTAGATTTCATCTAACCTGGCTTTTATTCTTTTTCTTACTCCACCTTTTGTCCTTGCCTTTACCTTAACTTTTATTTTTGCCCCCAACCCTAGCTTTTATTCTAGCTCTTATTTTAGCCTTCATCCTTACCTCTACTCTAACGTTGCATTTATTATAGTTTTTACTTTAGCTTCAGCTTTACTCTGTTTTTAAATGCAGTAGCCTTATTACTTTTTTTAAATTTCAATTTTCAATACCAAAAAGCTCATTTTTTAGCAATTTTCCAAAGCCAAAATCAAAAATTCTCACATTATTTTGAGAATTTGAACACATAAAAATTATTGGAATGTTTGTTCCGAATTAAAAAAAAACAATGTGAAATTCTTGGTCTCTTCGATTGGCTCGTTAGATTTTGGGGCGGGAATGCGCGACTTTGGCCTCGGAATAAGCGGGTTCAAACACTGTTTAATGGCGACTTAATTAAATGCCTCTGGGGATTGAGGGCGATTTGAATTCGGGTTCCAAGTTTGGAAAGGCAATTAGCATGATAAATAATTGATTTCTGAAGTTTAGGGGGAATTTTTGAAAAATTTTAAAAATTTTGAAATTTTGGGGGTAGGGCATGGAAGAGGTTGAGCATGGTTTGAAATAAGAGGAAGGCTATTTTTTTATTTTTAAATTTTTAATTAAAAAAGAAGTTTTAAGACAAATATATTTAAAATATTCTTTTTTCAAAAAATTTTAATTTTAAAAAAATTTTAAAAATTTCAAAAATTAAAAAAAAATTTTAAATCGTTGTTTCTAATACAAATTCTAAATTTTATTTTCCAAAAATCCTTCTTCAGTTATTTAAAAAATAAATTTGTTTTTCATTTTTATTGTGCCATGTTGGCAGGATGTCAAAAAACCGGACAATATGCAAAAACGTCTATATTAAATTTTGCGCGGTATTTGTATTCAAAAATACGAAAAAAAATCCGAGTTTTTGTCAAAGTTTTGCTCGACTATAATGCGGAAAAGCGGACGTCCGCAAATGTAATAAACTCAAATGGAATCATTGTGAGAATTGAGTGGAACGACATCAAGAAGCTCATGATGCCAACAAGCTTTTCTCACGTTTGAAATACGCGTCTGCAATACTTTTTTTTAGCGGTTTTTGATTTTTTTGAATTAATAAAAAATTTTTTGATTTTTGAAATTTTTATTAAAAATTATATATTTCTGCACTGTAATAGGGATAGGATAGGGTTTTTGATAAAGCTGGGTAGGGTTAGGGAAACTTTTTTGCATGACTTATGGTATATTTGTGTAATACGTAAATTCTATAATGAAAACGACCGGTAAAGTTTTGTAACAGAACTTTTCGCGCATCCTGTGTTTTTGTCAATCGCGATTTTGTTTTTAAATTAAAAAAATGTTTTTTGAAATTTACAAATTTTAGATTAGCTGTATGAACAAATTTTTATAAGTTATGTTGACATTTATGTAAATCCCAATCTTTCGTTGCTACTATGATTCTCTTTCTACATCTTCAGTTACCAACCAAAATACTACTGCTTTCCACAATATTTATATCACATACCTTATGGTTGGTTGATGGATATGTTATTCTCGGTAAGTTAGTTTCACTTTTATATTTTTTTTTAATTTCAAAACTTTTTGGGAATTTTGATTTTATTGTAGAGTTTAAAAAATCTTTACATTCTTGCCACTTTTGGAAACATTACCATAAACTCCTTATTAAGCGCCTTAAAAGTACAAACAAAAATTTTAAAGCCCATGCCGACTAATAAAAGCTGTTAAAATCGGATTTTGGGGTCGGGATTTGTCCTCAATATTGCGCATCGTTTGATGATGACGCAATTGTGCGACAAAACTGTCAAAAACCTAATGACCCGAACACTTGGGTAAACAGTTTTTGTAAACAAAAAAAAAGAAAAAAAATTTTAAAACGCAAAAAAATAATTTTTTTCTTATTTGTATGAGTAAATTTTTGAAAAGTTCTAGTCTTAGGCCATAGCTCAAACCCTGTGCCCTCAGAAACCCAGCCCAGAGCCGTAGTCCAGAGCCCTAGCCCAGAGCCCTAGCCCAGAGCCCTAGCCCAGAGCCCTAGCCCAGAGCCCTCGCCCAGAGCCCTCGTCCAGAGCCCTATCCGAGAGCCCTAGCTCAGAGCTTTAGCTATACGTAGGGAAAGATCCGGTCTAGGCTTGAGCTAAATAAAAAACAGACTAGGCCTAAAATTCAGTCCAGATTGAATAAAATAAAACACGGGTTTAAAGTTTAGGACTGGCACGATCTTTATGTCTTGCATTAGGTCTAGTCCTAGCAATTACTACATGAAATATAGGGTTATATAAACGCAATAGAGGACAATTAAGTTCATTTTATTGTCTTTAAAGCCTAGAATTACGCAAGACGTTTTAGCCATAAACAAAAAATGGCAATAATTAACAGATTTTAGGAAAAAATTGAAAATTTTAGAAATTATTAAAGGTTTAAATGTAAAATACGTCTTTATATTTTACCGCTTTAAAGAACTTTTTCAATAATTTTTCAAAATTTCATTTTAATTTTTTCATATCTCATTTCCAGACCAATCCAAATGTCCGCTAGGCTGGCGAGCAGCAGCCGACCAATGTGTTCGTCTAGAACTGGCAGCACACACTCATGATGGTGCAATGGAAGAATGTGCCATCCAAGGTGCTGAACTGGTCAATATTGTCAAAAGTTCTCAAATCGACCAGACTTTGTTGGTCGATTTGAATGATATTGTTCATGAAGCGGAGCAAAATGGATTAGCCGAGAAAGTGTGGCTAGTTGGTGGATTACAAGATGCGTTGGCTGATCCACAGCTGGCTTATGATCTGTGGTTGACTACTAATAGGATCATGGAGAAGAGAAGTGTTGAACGAAAAGTCTTGGCATTGGAGAGGAGGGTTGGTAATGATGAACTTGAAATGTAAGTTGGGTAGGGTAGGGTAGGATAGGGTAAAAAATTAAATTTTTTATTATTTTAGAACTTCAGTACCAGCGGATGGAAGACATTTTTACATTTGTGGTTTACTTCCATTAACGAGGAGAAGACTGTTATACGAAGAAACTTTTCTTCCAAAAGGTATTTTGTAAACTTTTTGTATTTCGTATTGCCCAAAGTGTCTAAAATTTTCTATTTTTTAATTTTACAGTACTCAATTATGTGTTTTACCATAGTATTAAATGCCAAAAAGTTTTTCGTTTTTTGCCGTTCAGGTCAATGTAAATTGACGATAAGACTTTTTAAAACACAAAAAATTTTTAAAAAAATTTAAAGTTTTAAGATATTAAAGCCGTGCCAATTAAAAAAATGTAAAATTCAGGTGTCCCAACCTTCCTAGAAGAACCAAGTGCCTCGTACTCATACATAAATCGACCAGATGGGCACTTCATCACAATTCCATGCAGAGCCGAAGGTATTCCTCAGCCAACAATAAAGTGGTTTCAAAGTGGAGTTGAACAGGTTAATTTGGACACAAATAACTCTTCTTTTGTCATTAGTGGAGGATCTTTGCTGATTCCGGTCGGGAAGACTATCGACAATGATGTAATGACTTTTCATTGTACTGCCACTAATGAGCTTGGTAAGAGTTTGATGTTGTGGCTGAAAGTAGACTTCTTTGTGTGATTTTTGAGTAGAGGGAAGGGTATTCTAGATTAGACTTAGGCTTAGCTATATTTTAGATTAGACTTAGCCTTAGCTATGATAACATTAGGGAGGTGGGATATTCTTCATATACAAAACGGCAATAACTTATGAATTATAAACTTTCAGGCACAATAAGAAGTTCATCCACGATAATTCGCCCAGCTTTTATTGAACCCTTTAGTCACAACAGACTTGATGCATATCCATTGTCAGCTCGAGGAGCTGGATCAAAGCTAGAGTGTCAGGCCCCACCACATCATCCAAGTAAGTTACAGTTTTTATAATTGAGGGAATTGCTATAACGTTTTGTTGTTTTTGAAGTAAGCTTTGAACGTTAAAATACGACAAAAATTTTTGATTTTTTAATACAGTATAATAGGGGCAAATTGGATTTTAAATTTAAAAAATAAAAAATGATAAAATTATCAACTTCTTTTTTAAAATTTTTTATATTTTGTACATTTAAAATTTTTTTAAATACAAAATAATTTTTAAAAATAAATAAAAATTTTGTTTTCAGCGATTGCTGAAGTGTTTACAAGTTTTTACTGGTTTAAAAAATTTTTATTACAAATTTGTCAAAGGATTTTGTACTAAGCACGCACAATAGTCTAAAAATCTTATCAATGCTATTATTAACGTTACTGGTAGTAAAACTAGTACCTAGTAACTATTCAATGTAGCCTCCATTGTACTTAGAGCCTTGTTTTGTTTGTGATAAGTTATTACAACTAGTAACTTTAAACTTTTTTTTGACGTATGAGTATTCAGTACTGTTCTGCCATAGCAAGCCGTATCTTGCAGTAAAAGTAGCATCTTTTTTGTGGTACAATCAGGGCCGGGCGCTGGGGGGGGGGAGGGGGGGAACCCCCCCCTCCCCCCCCAAAAAAAAATTTTTCGAAAAAAGTTGAACGTGGTCTCCCTGTGGATTTTCGGAAAAAAGTACAACTATTGAACAGTAGCTTTTCATCTGCTTTGTAAAATCGGTAATCAGTGTAGAGCAGAGCTCTTCTATAGTATTCAATAACTTCCTTCTACAATACTCAGCCTTCTTTTATAGTACCCAGTTCCTCAACGTAGTAACACCAGTAGCCAGCTTCTATGTCTACTGTTGTTACGCCTATGCATGTTTACTTTTCGTTTTTTACCCGTAAAGCCATTGAGTACACTTTTTTCGCTGTTTCTATTGTTTACGCACTTGATTCAAGTCGATTTATTAGATTATATTGGAATACTTAAAGGAAAAAGGAAGTAAACTGATATTCTCCTTCATTCACACAATTTGTCGATTCGTTTTTTAACATGATACCTTTTGTTTTAGTGGGTGGCATGGATTTTTTATTTGAAGAAGAGGGTTTTTAGGGTATGGCTGGGTAGGGTACGGTATTTTTAACCGTAGCTTTTGCTTTTGCCCTACCCTTAACCTTAGTTTTAGTGTTTTTAAGCCTTAGTCTACCATAACTTTATTACAGAGCGGAGGAGTAAAGATGAAAAAGGCTGGGGGTGGATTTCATCTCCCCGTTTTATAAAATTCTCAATGATTTTGGTTGGGCGTGGGTAGGAAGATGGCGTAACCTCTTTACCAAATTTTTTAAATTTTGTATTGTACGTGTAGTGTTGGCTTGAGGGTAGGAAGGTAAGGTAAAAAAGAACAAAAAACGTTTTTTACAGTAAGTTTTAAACTTTTTAAAAAATTTTAAAACTGCACTTTAAGAAAATCTTATATCAAGGCTGTCTAGTTTTTTTTTCATTTAGTCTAGACTAAGCTAACATTTGCTAGCACTAAATGCACTTTGAAAATTCTTTTCAGCTCTTGTAATATGGTTTGTGATTGTTAAAATTAAATTATGTTGATTCTGAGAATATTTCTTAAGTAATCACCTAATCTAATTAACCTTTATCTTGATCAGTGATTTGCACGTCTTTAATTCTTGACACTTTCACGTTATTCACTTTGAGCAATACTTATAAAGGTATTGTTTCTTATCAAACTTTTTTTCTTTTGAGTTGTTCAAATAATTCTGTTCTCCATAAGTTAGAAAAGGAAGGATAGGGGGCACAGAATTATTTTGGAAAAAAAAATTGTAGATTTAAGGATCATAACCTTGAAAAGGTGCTTTGAAAGAGAGCACAGAATTATTTGAACAAACTTTTATAGTATACCATGATTGTCCTTTACAATCATTTTCAAACCTTTAAAAAAGTAATAAACATGAATCATATTGAAAAATGTTTTGTCTTTAGAAGAATCACTTGAAATTATTTATTTCAAATTGGTTTTGACCAGAAATTAAGTGGGAAAAAGGGAAAACCTTTTATAACTTGAAGGTAACGACGATTCTAATTTTATGTATTAGTAAGAAGTCTAGACGTAAAGGGTTACTGTAAATTTGAATTTTGAGTTTTACCATCAAAAGGTGACTTCACTATAAGATGAAAAGTTGTTACACCGAGAAAACAGAATAACCGCCATAGCCATAGCCATAGCTATAGCTAACGTCATAGCCTTAACTTTAAGCTTTTCCTATTATATCCTGACTAGGTCCTTTCCGGCCTTATCTTAGTTGTACTCTTATCTTTTTCTACCTACTCTACCCTTTCCTACCTTATCTTAGCCTTACCCTACATTAATCTTATCATAGCCTTAGAATTTATAGCAAAACTAGCAGAAATTTTTATTTTTCATGCCATTTCAAACCGACCACTCCTAATTAACTATCTTTTAACAACCGCCTCATCAAGCCAATTAAAAATGTCAGTGGTATTATGTAAATATACGTTTTTGTTTACCACCCCAAACATGGTCCGCATACAAAACCGCAAATTTCCATTGTTTTTCCGCAAAATTGCGTCAAATTTTGTTCGGCTGGTGCGGCCTCCCCCCGCTCGTTTCAGACACACAAAACTTTTCAACCCGATTTCCATATCAATGGCTCTTCTAGAGATTCGACCACTTTACAGTCGAATTTCAATTTGAAAGGGTGATGGGTTGGTTTTACAGTAGAATTTGAATTTATAGTGGGGTGATGGTTTGTATGGGAGGTTGGCTTACTGGAAGGGCTAGGGTAGGGCTAGAGTAGAGCTAGGGAAGGGCTAGGGCGGGGCTAGTCCAGCGTTGAGCTAAGATATGGTGGGCAGGGTAGGACTACGTTAGGGTTAGGCCAAGGTAGCGCTAGAGAAGGGTAGGGTTAGGGTATAATATGGTGATAAAAATTTTTTTTTGATATAGAGGTAGACATTAGAAACGGACCTGGCCTATTTTTCAGCCGAACCGATCGAAATTTTGCTTAAGGCTAGCCCGGACCAGCTCGAATTTTTCTACGTGGAAAAAGGCCGGGCCCGGGCTATTAGTTCAGGCCCGGCTCGATCTAAATTTTGCTCAAGGGCGGCCCGGCCGGTTTCTAATGTCTACAGAGGGAAGAAGATGATTGAAAAATTGTAATGTTATTAACTTAAAAAAAAATTTTGAAACATTAATAACCACTGATTTTTTAAGAAATGGATGATTACAGCTTCAGCCCTTTTTTTGAATTTTATGTTTGTAAAAGATTATTTTTTGTTATTTTTTTTGTTTTCCGATCCAAAAGGCTTTAATATTACGTTTTTTTCATAAAACTGACCGTCTGACTTCAGAGGCCTTTTGTTTAAAATTTTGTTTGTCTTGATCAGTTTTTACGTTTTTTAATGGTCTAGAAAATTTTTTTAGCTATACCTAGCTTTAGCTGATCATACTCTACAATAAGCTCATCATATAATATGCTCTAAATGCCTCGCAGCTTACCATACCCTACCTTCAAAGACAAATTTTGTCCGTGGGTAACGGGTAGGTCTGATAAAACTGGACGAGTAAGCTAGGTTTGGAGGTGCAAAAAAATAATTTTTAAAATTTTAAAACTTCTTAAAATTGCACTTTTACTATAGTAATCACTATAGTCATTTTAAATTTTATATAGATTTCAGTCATTTTAAAATTTTTAAAAACTATAGTCTATAGTCATTTTAAAGCCAATAAAAATAAAATTTTAAAGGTTTATCTTTATTGTGTTGAGAAAAAACAGACTTTTTGTGATAAGGACTAAAGCTCAAGCAAAAAGTGATTATTTTTGAAAATGAAGTGATTTGTGTGGGAGGTAAAAACACACGTACATTATGTTTTGTCAGTACTATTGGAAGAAGGGTTGGGTATGAAAGGGTTTGGGAGAGGGTAAAAATTGAGCGAAAGGAGCAGGGAGAGGGGTAAAACTTGAACGAACGGGGCGGGGAAGGGGTACAAATTGGGCAAAGGGGGTGAAAGAGGGGGTAAAAGTAGAAGTGTTTACTGTAATATTTAAAAAAAAACTATATTTAAAAATTTTTTAAAAATGGTCGTGGTAATTTTTTTGTAGAGAAGGAGGCGTTGATCTGCGATAATATTGCCAGTAGGAGATTCATAGATCATAAATCTTGTTTCTTTTTCAATATACTGTAACAACTAGATCAAGTAGCTCTGAAAGAGGGCTCATTAGGTACAGTGTGGCTTTGGTCTAGTCTCCTAGGCCTTTTTTACCCTTGTTACTATTGTTAGTAGTATAGCTACTTTTTCCCTACTGTTAGCTCATTCCCCCTCTTTCTTAACCTTCTTCCTATAACAATATCAATCTCCCCTTATCCTTCTTCTTATAACCAGATCAACCCCCCCCCTTCCCCCCATCGTGTTTACAAACGCCCAACAAGCGGAAACAATTTCCCGGTCGATTGGTCTTAATCAAGATGACAAATTGATTACGTAAACGCTGGGCATGTATTATTTCCTTCCGAGAGAGGTGTTTAGTCTAATTTTTCTTTCGAGATTGTATATTGGCGTCAGCTGTGAACATAAGCTCAAACGTGTCATGGCACAGGCGAAGGAAACGAAAAGTCAAACATAAAACCGAAAAACTCAAGGAATAAACGTTTCAGGCAGTTTTTCGTTGTGTTCTTGAACTGGAATTATGGTTTGGAATAGGAAAGTACAAGGCAGGTAGACTAAAGCTAGGGTAAGGCAAGCTGAGGGTTGGGTGGGTAGGGCTATTTCTAAAGCTAAGGTTTCAGCAGTAAAAAAAAATTTAATTTTGCATTTTTGTAGTCATTGCTTTTAAGCTAATTTTTTTACTACTGTATATAGTATACTTAGTATCATTATACTCAATATACAGTATACTGTATCCAAAAACTGTTTCTTACAAAAATTTTAATTTGTTTGTTAGGGCTAGGACTAGTATAGTACTTATTTTAGTAACGACTACAAGGTTAGTACTACTTTTGG